CGGGGGGGAGGGGGGGGCGGGGGGAGGTCACGTTAGAAACACAGGTCCTGATCCGGGTGGGGACCGCGAGCACGCTTGCAGCCGCAGGCAGGTCTCTGCAGGAAATGCACGCTCCTAGATCGGGGCAGGGCGTGGCGCGGACAATGAGTGCGTTTGTCCGCTCTAGGGAGCGGGTCCTCTGGCGCACAAGGTTTGGATAGGTGAAAGGGAACCGTCTTTTGGGAAAGATGAATTATTCTAAAGGATTTTTGCCCTAGGTGGTTTGGAGTAAAAGGGTGAATACAATACTCCTAGGTGAAAGGGGAGCAAAATGCCTCCTCTCACTTTGTGCAAGGTAAAATAACCAATACCAAAATAAAAGTGAGCATTTATTTAACATTGAAAGTTAGGGTGTATCATCGAACCCCGAGCACCACTGTCCTCTTGCTGAGAGAGGTTTTCAGCAGTCGTTTCTCCCTACTTCACTCAAGGAAAGGGAGGCAAAGGAGGGTAGAGGATTGTAACCAAGGTACTTGGTTGAGAGCGGGGTCCTGAGCCCTATGGAGCTAAGAAACACTGGCTGCTTCGCATTTTAGGTCTTTGAGTTGACTTCATGGACAGCTTTAATATGGAGACTCAGGCTAAAAGGGATAACCTCATCTGTAAGAGCTTATACTTTACTGTGAGGAGCCGATATAGGGTTAAGCCTCAGACTGACCTGTTGGCAAAGTCACAAACAGGTCTTCCGAGTCTTAAACAACCCAATCCGAGAGGTGGCCGCTGAGTTACACGCGCTATCATTAAAAAATAAATAAGTAAATAAAAATGGGGGAATTTGCTGGAAGCCGGTCCACCCTTGCTGCTTGACACAGTTGCTGCAGGGAAGAAACATCTGCACAGCTTATGTTTCAAGGGACCTGGCGTATATGGCATATGTTTGCTCCCCCTCTTAGCGCTATGTGTTTTAAACAGGACCACCTCCCCGAGAAAGGTTGTTTCCCCAGGTGAGGATTTTTCCCTGGAGTTAGGGATTAACAAGACTAAGGAAGAGAATAAATCAGTGAAACCCCCTAGTGTTACAGAAATACCATGTACTACTTATGAAGAACTTGGACTAAGACTGTTGGCAATAAATTTTGGACTTGTTGGGCCCACATCCCCAGGGGTCTGCCCACCAGGGAAAACAAAGCCTATACCCCTGGAGACCCACCGACACAGGGCAGTCCCAGGGAAGGCAAGCAGCGAGGCTGGGAGGACATAACCTTTACTGGGTAGGAGAATCTCCTTCAGTCACTTCCTTGTAGCTTATCAGTAGAGCAGCGACCCTGGAATAGCCCTTAAAATGGAACATAGAGATTAACCTAGACAAGATTAAAATCAACAGAACTAGATAGAGACAGGATTTCTGGTAAAGGTCAGATAAGAAACTATGGAACAAGGAACTGTAGAAGGTTACCCAAAACATACCATGATGTGATTATAGAGGCATGCTTATAGGATAAAATGGTATAAATTCAGATGTAACAGGACAATAAAGAGAGAACCTGGCTATGCTGATCAACTGAGCACTGCCTCCGTGTCCTTCATTCTTTGCCGACTCCGTCCACACCTTTGGGGAACCCCTGGACCTGCTGGGGCAGGACCCCAACACTTTACCTTCAGATCTCAGCTGCTGTCACAAAGTTCTCCATCCCCAACCCTCCTAGGCCAACCCATTCTCATCTTTTGTCAGGAACTGCAGTAGCCTCCTAACTGCCCCCCTGCTTGTCTGCCTGTAGAGTCATGACCCACATACTAGCAATGATGGTTTGGTCAAGGAAGGACAGCATGTGATACAGCAATCCTGTAAGATTATAGTGGAGCTGAAAAATTCCATGGCCTATTGACATCATAGCCCAACTTAACATTGCAGCACAATGAATTACTCCTGTTTGTGGTAATGCTGTGTAAACAAACTTACTACCCTGCCAGTCATATAAAACTATAGCACATACAGCCGGCCAGTGTGGCTCAATGGTTGAGTGTCGACCTGTGAACCAGGAGGTCACACAGTTCGATTTCTTGTCAGGACACATGCCCAGGTTGCAGGCTCGATCCCCAATAGGGGCATGCAGGAGGCATCTGATCAATGATTCTCTCTCATCATTGATATGTCTATCTCTCTCTCCTCCCTCTCCCTTCCTCTTTGAAATCAATAAAAATATATTTTAAAAAGTAATTAAAAATCTCCTCCCTCTCCCTTCCTCTCTGAAATAAATTTAAAAATATATATATATATATATATATATTTTAAACTATAGCACATAAAGTTATGTACAGTATATAATCCTATATAATAAAAGGCTAATATGCAAATAGATTGAACGGCCAAACGACCAGTCACTATGATGTGCAGGAGACGCTCAATGCAAGAGCTGCCCCGTGGTGGTCAGTGCGCTCAGCCAGAAGCTGGGCTCACAGCTGGTGAGCGCAGCAGCGGTGTCAGGAGACTCTCTTGCCTCTGTGGCAGCACTAAGGCCCCCTTGGGGGATGTCCACCTGCCAGCTTAGGCCCGCTCCCCGGACTGCGAGAGGGCGCAGGCTGGGCTGAGAGACCCTCCCCCGCAGTGCACAAATGTTGTGCACTGGGCCTCTAGTACTTGATAATAAATGAATATGTTACTGGCTTATGTTTTGACTATACTATACTTTTTTATCATTTTAGGGTATACTCGTTTTACTTATAAAAAATATTGCTATTAAATACTGTGCCATGTTCTGCCAGCAGCAGTCTCATATATCTCCTATTTACCACATCTCTTGAATGAATCATTTTGCTTTGCTTGATTTTGTCTCCTGTTTTATACAGTCAGTCACATGATCTACAGGTTGTAGCCTAGGAGCAATAGGCTAGACCACATGACCTAAGTGTGTAGTAGGCTAAGCCATCTAGGTTTGTGTAAGTGCCTCTATAACAGTGATGGCCAACCTATGACATGCGTGTCAGAGGTGACACGTGAACTCATTTTTTTCGTTTATTTTTCTTTGTTAAATGGCATTTAAATATATAAAATAAATATCAAAAATATAAGTCTTTGTTTTACTATGGTTGCAAATATCAAAAAAATTCTATATGTGACACGGCACCAGAGTTAAGTTAGGGTTTTTCAAAATGCTGACACGCCGAGCTCAAAAGGTTCGCCATCACTGCTCTATAATCGTCCCACAACAAAATAATCTAACACATTTCTCAGAATGTATCCGGTCAGTAAGTGGCTTTTTGACTGTAGTTCATTCTCCAGACCGTAGCCAGAGGATTTGGGGGATTTGTTTATTTTTTTTAGACACAAATCAGATCAGGTTACTCCCTTCCTTAAATCTCTATAAAACTCCCATTGCACTTCAGTTATGATCATAACCTCTTACCATGGTCCGGCCGCCTCAGCTCACACTACCTTCCTGCTTGTTCACTCTGCCCACATGACTTCCCGTTTTCCTTGACAGCATTGTTTTCCTACCGAGGAGGATGCTTGCATGTGTCTCTTGCCTCAGCGGGGTGCTGTGATGGTTCCTTTCAAAGCTGACTCCTCTTTCTGTCGCCCTCCCGCGAGAGGTCTGTCCTAATCAGTCCTCCTATGGTCGTGTGCTGGGCTCACACAAGTCTCCCACTCAGTTCTACTCATACCAGATTCTCAGCAATCACTGCTCTGGCGGATGAGAGGTTGTTTATTCAGTCAGTCATTAATGGATGTTGACTGACTTACTCAGGCCTGAGAGATTCAATGCAGTTCAAGCTAAAGAATAAAATGGGGTATTAACACGTTACATGACCTGATTTAATAAAGCTTCCACACCCAGGAAGATAGCAGAGGGCATACTTTGATCAGGGAAAGGAAAACGACGGGGGGTGAGGGGTGGGGAAGGACAGCCTAAACACACTCTTAAGGTGAGGAGGAAGTAAAGCAAGAAGAAAAGTAGAGGACGAGGTTAGAGCGGCCAAAGGGAGCCTTCATGCACACCTCCACACCTCCACAACATGAAAATGTCAATTCCCACACCTCTCATGGATGTATGTATATATTAGTTAGGACTCCTGTTTCCAGCATAACAAGCCCATTCGAGCTAGCATAAGCATGAAAGAATTCACTGTTAGGTTGTTCTCCTTTAACCCCAAGTCAGGAATACAGTGTTCTTATTTGGAGATAAAGTCTTTAAAAAGACAGTTCAGTTAAAACTGAATTCATTCGGATGGGATCTAACCCAATATGACTCGTGTCCTTATAAGAAGAGATTAGGACACAGACACGCAGAGGAGGGACCATTTACAAGCCAAGGAGAGAGGCCTGGAGGAGGTCAACCTTGCCAACACCTCGTCCCAGATTTCCCACCTCCTGAATCCTGAGCACATGCATTTCTGTTGCGGGAGCCACCAGTCCCTCGTACTTTGTTAGGGCAGCCCCAGCGAACTAACACAGGTGTCATACAAAATTCTCAGACTGGGACCCCAATATTGTTTAAAGCTTGCAGGCTGCATGCAGTGGGAAAGGCTGCCAACAGTTTCATTCCGGGGGAAGAGATTTGGAATCCTTTCTGATACCAAAATTGCTCTTTTTTTTTAATGGGGAATACCGTTTTTGTTTACAATTTCATTCTGAAAATGAAGCAATGTGTTGCTGCTCAGCATGATCACGTGAAATGTGTCTTCACTGTTGGCAAAGTTATTACACTGGCTTAGAGTCAGGGCAGAGCTTTGGCAGGAGGAGAAAATGGGTTTTCCCCTTTGACTGGGCCAGAGCAACTTGCAGGCCTGGGGAAGCTAAGTCCCAGGAACTTCCATTTTCCAGGGGCAACCTGAATCCCGCACTGTGGTAGTGGGCTGGGGGTCCGCTGGAATTTCCTTGCCATTCAAATAGCTGGGCCCATGAGAGACAGCTCTAGAGGCAAGCAGGTGGGGGCTGAGACTAATGTTATTTCTGCCCTAAAAGACACATGCTCACTGAGCACCAGGTCACCTGGCCTGCACTGACAAGTTCTCATTGCTCGGTTTCTGAGTTACCTTTTTTTATTTTTTAAATATATTTTATTGATTTTTTACAGAGAGGAAGGGGGAGGGATAGAGAGTTAGAAACATCAATGAGAGAGAAACATCGATCAGCTGCCTCCTGCACACTCCCTACTGGGGATGTGCCCGCAACCAAGGTACATGCCCTTGACCGGAATCGAACCTGGGACCCTTGAGTCCACAGGCTGACGCTCTATCCACTGAGCCAAACCGGTTAGGGCCTGAGTTACCTTTTATGTTCATCAGTGGTTCCGTCCACCTCCCCCCCACACACCCCCACCAGGCACGTGCATTATGTTTCTATGGCTTTTCTAGGATTTGTCTTTGGCGCCTACAAAATGCCCAACTTTTCCTGCATTCTCGCCTTTGTATTTTGACTATTCTAACGGGCATGCAACGGTGACTAAGACATGGCAATGGTGATTTTAAAAGGAAAAGGAGCAGCAACAATGAGAGAAAGGCCCAGAGGGACATTTTTACAAGGAAAGCATGTTAAGGAGATGGCAGTCAAAAGGATTCACCGTTGTCCTAAAGTTAGGGAGTTGGAAGTCTGGATGTTTCCATGAGGTTTAGTAAACAGGTTTCATTGGTGACTTTGGTGAAAGCTTCAGGGTAGGGGCAGGAGCGAAAACCAGAGTGCAATGGGATGGGGAGTAATTATAAACAACTTTCTTCAAAGGTTTACTGTAAAGAGAGGAGAAATATAAAGTAAGAGTTAAAGAGGACGAGGGGTTGTGGCCAGTGGTTCCTAGACTACGTACCTGGAGCGCAGCAACAAACTCAGAGAGGTGTCATAGGAGGGACATCGATGCTGGGAAGAGGACGAGGGGTTGTGGCCAGTGGTTCCTAGACTATGTACCTGGAGCGCAGCAACAAACTCAGAGAGGTGTTGTAGGAGGGACATAGGAAACATCGATGCTGGACACACCAGGCTTGGCCATGCTATTTCATTTTACTGGAATGCTTGCTGCAACAGTTGCATCTCATTTTTACTTGAGTAGTTCATGTTCATCTTTCCTTTTTATTAACTGGTAAATATGTACAATATGTATAATAAACCAATGGTATAAAAATATTAAAACGAATACCCGTGTAACTCACTCTGAAAGACAGTCACAAGAACAATTCCAGGTTCTACGTCAGGAGGGCTCACAGACTCAGAAAACAGTCCTGTTCACAGTATGATGTATTGCGGTGAAATGACAAAAGCAGAACCAGCAGAGGGAAAGGGCACAAGAAGTCCAGGTGCAAGCTTCCAAGAGTCCTCCCTCGGGAGGCTCACGGGATGAGTTTCATTCTCCCGCAATGAACTGTGACAACGCGTATGAAATGTTGCCTATCGGGGAAGCGCATTAGAGACACAGCACCCAGAGATTTTACTGGGGCTGGACACATATCCTCCCTGTGC